ATCTGGGAGAAGATGGGCGGAGCTTTCTGAAGGGCCCTGGACGAAGCATTGGGTCACGGTCACCATGCCAGCCCACCGGGAGTAGAGCACGCATGGTGTAGTAGGAGATTGTGGTGGTCTAGAGACTGGCACTGGGAAGGATGCAGGACGGAGGGAGGGCTCTTCGACACTTCTTACCGTGAGGTTGTGTGTTCCTTCTTGAGAGTCCTCTCATTGTGAGGTGTCGAGTGCGCTCAACCTTGAGAGTYGACAATGTTCATGTGGAGCATCTGGGAGAAGATGGGCGGAGCTTTCTGAAGGGCCCTGGACGAAGCATTGGGTCACGGTCACCATGCCAGCCCACCGGGAGTAGAGCACGCATGNATCTGGGAGAAGATGGGCGGAGCTTTCTGAAGGGCCCTGGACGAAGCATTGGGTCACGGTCACCATGCCAGCCCACCGGGAGTAGAGCACGCATGCTTTGCTGCTTGTCCTTTGTTCGGCTTGCTGCGCTGTTAGATGGGTACTGAAGGGCAGGCCAGCCCTAAGTGGGAGACGAGACCGGGCGTCTTTAAATAAACACCGGAAGGGGAACCACTAGCTGTGATCGTCGTCCTGCTGCGACGTAAAATAATTCCTGATGACACTTGGGGGCGGTCGTTAAATTGCCTCTGGATCAGCCAATGGTTGTAAGGCTCGCTGCACGTGAGGATAATCTAGTGTAGGGCTGGCCAGCTCAGCAGTTAGATGGGTACTGAAGGGCAGGCCAGCCCTAAGTGGGAGACGAGACCGGGCGTCTTTAATCTTTAAATAAACACCGGAAGGGGAACCATTGGCTGTGATCATCCTCCTGCTGCGACGTAAAATAATTCCTGATGACACTTGGGGGCGGTCGTTAAATTGCCTATGGATCAGCCAATGGTTGTAAGGCTCACTGCACACGAGGATAATCTAGTGCAGGGCTGGCCAGCTCAGCAGATACTCGGGGCACAGGGGTGGGCTTGCGTTTGTCTGCGGTAGGCCCGAGCAGGGACCAGCACCGGCCAAGAGTGGCCGTGGTCGCGGCAGCAACGCCGTTTGATCAAACCAGCGAGGTTGTGTCTGCCAATGAAGGAGACAGACTCGCAGCCGCCCGGGAAGGTGGCCGTCCCGGCAGGGGCCGAGGACGCGGCAAGATGAAGACACACACCGCATCTAGCCCCGAGCCCGGTGCAGCAGCTCCAGCCTCTTGGTCCCAATATGGCATCTCCGAGCAAGCGTTCAAGGCGCGCACGAGATTCCACTATTGCCTATGGTGCAACAGCGATCTTCATCAGACACTCCCTGCCCATTGAAAGGCAAGGGCAAACAGGGAAATTGAGCACCGCCGAGAGTGACTCGACAACACTCTCGGCGCCTCAGGAACCGGTTTCTTTGCGAGTAACCGGCCTTCATTCAGAGGCGCACGCGGAAGTCGATAGTCCTCTTACTTATTCTTTTGAGGACTATGCTGCCTGACTCGTTCCTACGCTGGGTACTCAAGCTCAAGGACAAGACGTGTGTGCGGCATCTTCTCCGTCTGGCAGCGGCAACTTATCGTCTTCAAGTGGTTCTTCACGGGATTCGGCGCGCGCTTCAACATAGAGGTATTGGACCCGCTCACGTCTAAGGATTTCGCATGGCTTCCTCTCCCAACCAGGCCGCTTGCCGGGACCACAATGCGCAGCACTATGCGCTCATCTACACACATACTTATCCTTCTATGCACCACCAACTTCGCCGACGGATGACGAAGTCACGGTGGGGGACATTCTTGCGTATGTTACCAAGGTGGCCCGCGAGTTTAGCACGCCGCGGTACGATGACAACAACGCACCGCTCATGTATGTCCGCATCCAGGTTGGGCAAGCGTCTTGCAGCGCTTTGCTGGATAGCGGCGCGTCTCGCAATTTCATGAGCCAATCCTTTATGCAAAGGGCTGGCCTTGGCGCACAAGTTCGGAGGAAGGCAAACCCGACGGCGATCAAGTTGGCGGATGGAAAAACGTAGCAACTTCTCGACCGTTACATCGAGGCCGTACCGGTTTATTTCGCACCTCATGCATGCGAACCAATGACGTTCGACATTCTCGACACGGATTTCGACATCATTCTGGGAATGCCTTGGCTTGCAAGTGCGGATCACACAGTCAACTTCCACCGACGGACTCTTAGCGTTCGCGACGCCTTCGGCGCGGAAGTGGCGTGTACTATTCCTCTACCGCACCCTTCGATTCGGTGCCAAGTGGTGACGATCAAATCATTCCGGGCGACTTGCGCTTACAAGCAACTCGAGGAAATCGGCCTATGTTTCCTACGGACCGTCGCGGCAGCCGACTCTTCACCCACAGACTTGTTTTTGGACCCCCATGTGGTGCGGTTGCTGGACGAGTTCGCCGACATCTTCGAGTCACCTACCGGTGTGGTGCCGGATCGGCCGATCTCTCACGAGATTATTCTTGACGCCGGTGCCGTGCCACCGAAAGGTTGCATCTATCGGATGAGCGAGGAGGAGCTTGAGGTCTTCCGCGCACAACTCGACGACTTGTTGGCCAAGGGCTGGATCCGCCCTAGTAGCTCCGCATATGGAGCACCAGTTCTCTTCGTCCGGAAGAAGAACAAGGATCTACGATTGTGTATCGACTACCGCAAGCTCAATGTGCAAACTGTCAAGAATGCAGGGCCTCTTCCTTGCATCGACGATCTTCTTGAGTGACTGGGCGGCGCACAATACTTTTCTAAGTTGGATCTGAAATCAGGATATCATCAAATCTCGATCCAGCTGAATGATTGCTACAAATCCGTGTTCAAGACGCGGTACGGGCATTTTGAGTGGGTGGTCATGCCTTTTGGCCTCACCAACGCCCCGACGACCTTTCAAGCGGCAATGACCAACGAGTTTCGTGCAATGTTGGACCGATTCGTGCTGGTCTACTTAAATGATATTCTCATCTATAGTCGAACTTTGGAGGATCATCTTGGGCATCTTCGACGAGTGTTGGAGACGCTCCGCCGCACCAAGTACAAGGCCAACCGCGATGCCTGTGGAGGTCCTACGCATATAGGACCCGCTTTTGCCTACGCACGTCACTACAGATGTGTCCGGCTATGGCATTGGTGTCGTCCTCAGGCAACATGATGGTGTGGACTGACACCCGGTCGAGTATTTCAGCAAGAAAGTGCGCGTCATGCATTCCATTGACGATGCACGCAAGAAGGAGCTCCTCGCCTTCGTCCACGTGCTCAAGCGGTGGCGGCACTTCCTCCTTGGTTGAAGCCAATTTCGATGGGTAACGGACAACAATCTGTTGGTCTTTTACAAGACCCAAGACACCGTCAACAGCACCATCGATCGATGGATGGCTTTCATCGACCAGTTCGACTTCTTTCCCGATCACATTCCCGGGAAGTCGAACCGTTTTGTGGATGCTTTTTCACGGCGTCCGGATCATTGTACCGCGGTTTACTCAACCTTCGAGATCGACGATGACCTGCGGAACAGCTTCATCCGCGGCTACCAAGCCAACCCCGAGTTTTGCGACAAGTACGCGAATTGCTCCTCTCCTAATCCGGCGCCTTCTCACTACCGGATCCAAGAGGGGTACTTGCTTTTCCACACACGGGGGAAGGACCTTTTTTGCGTACTGAGTGATCCTCACTTGCGTACACGGCTTCTTGGCGAGTTCCACGATGCTCCCGCCACCGGACACTTTGGAGTCAATCGCACGATTGGCCGACTTCGCGAGCGATTTTGGTGGCCCGGCCTTCTCGGCGACGTCACACGCTATTGCGAGTCATGCGAGGTTTGTCGACGTTGCAAATCCCGCAACCACCGTCCGTACGGCGAGTTACGGCCATTGCCGGTCCTATTGAGGCGAAGGGAAGCGATTGCCATGGACATTACCGGCCCGTTCCCCAAGCACAAGACCGGAGTGGATGGGATTCTCACGATGGTCGACCGACTCACCAAGTTCGCCATGTTTTTGCCTTGTCGCTATCATGCCAAGGCACCGGAGTTGGCCGAGGTTCTCTGCGCCGGTTGGATTCGAACCAAGGGTTACCCCAAGGAAATCGTCTGCGATCGCGACACTCGGTTCAAGTCCGATTTTTGGTTGGCGCTCATCAAGCGATGGGGCTCATCTCTCAAGCCCAGTTCAACGCACCACCCTCAGACCGATGGCCAAACGGAGAGAGCGCACCAGACCGCACAGGTTCTCCTTCACACTCTCATTCGTCCTGACCAGAAGGACTGGGTTGAGCGGCTGCCGGATGTCGAGTTGGCCTACAACTCTTCCATCCACCCCGCTATCGGGATATCGCCTTTCGAGTTTGAGCACGGCTCGCCGGTCACTTCACCGTTGGACACTATTACTCCACAAACGACTGAGAGCGACGACCATCTTCTTTTCTTGCGTCGGATGCAAGAGCTTCTTGTCAAGGCACGCGACCAAATGGCTAAGACGCAGCAGCGCATGAGCCAGCAGGCCAATGGCCAGCGTCTTCCTTGCCCATTTCGCGTCGGCGACCTCGTTTGGGTTTCCGCAGCGGAATTCAGCCTTGAACAAGACATCTCTCGCAAGCTCCTCCCGAAATGGATGGGGCCTTGCCAACCGTAGCGCCCGCTGGGGAGGCACCCGAGGGACCTTCCTTCACGATTCAAGTGCCCGCCCACTTGCCCGTCTACCCAATCTTTCATTGCTCCAAGTTGGCTCTTTACACGCCAGCGGAACATGACGATTTTACCGGGAGACGTACGCAAGACCTGCCCTCTATGGACGATTTCCAGAAGGTCGACGACATCATCTCCCCGCGATGCTACAGCAACAGGCCAACCGAGTATTTGGTGCATTTTGCATACTGCACACACCGAGTTGATCGTTGGTTGACCCGTGCGGAACTTCAAGCAACAGCTCTTGATGTTCTCGCACGCTACGAACGCAAGATGCAAGGCAAGCCGGTTTCTTCGGCTCCACGCCACGCCCGCGTCCAGGTTCCACCTTCAGATTGTCGGCTTCGCCCTCGCCCCGGCTTGACTTCATAAGGAGGGGGGGGGGGTGTTACATGCTGCGCTTGCACACGAGGGCCGTTTTCCAGGCCCTGCGTCCCTCAGGCTGAAAGCCTGAAAACCACGGCCTACAGGCCTCGTGACTATTCAGCCCGAAAGCCTGAAAACAGGGGCCTACAGTCCCTGTGTCGTTTCAGACTAAAAATGGCAATAGCCTTTTTAGCCTGAAACGAAGGGCCATTTTCGGTTGTTCATCAGAACGACCGGCCCTGAAACTCAGGCACCGAACCAGGGTTTCGGGAACAGGCTATTCGTAGCCTGTTCCTACGCCAACCTCTGCAACTGCTGCAGCGCCAGCCTTTGGCACACTTCGGCATTGGCAAGAGCAGCCTCCTCGGCTTGGCTTGCCCTTCAGGCAGTCAGGAGGCAGGCCGAGGTAGTACATAGGGACTTCCCATGCACTTCACGGGTAGGCCGGAGGCAGTAGTCTTTAGGATTCGGCCGCAGCACTCTGCAGGGAGCGCTGCAGGGAGTAGTAGTAGCGTTAGCCTTTAGTCTTCAACGCTGGGCGCAGTAGGTAGCTGTAGTCTCCAGCGCTGGGCGCCATAGCTAGGATAGCACTAGAGAGAGAGAGAGAGATTGGGCGGAGGCCAGAGGTACTTACCTGCAACGCCGTTGCTCCAGTTTCGTCTTCGAGGTACCTACAGCACAACGCCAACATCACAGGTTAGTTCCTGGCTCGTAACAGAGAGAGAGAGAGTTCTTCTTCTTCCTCTTCTCAGTCCACCATCTCCCTCTCACTCTCTCATCCTCTGACTTCACTGCATCTGCAGACTACGAGAGAAGAGAGAAAGAGCTTGGTGACATTGGATCCAGACTCGACTTTTGGACTTCAGACATTGCAACGAGGGATTATTTGGGACTTGTGACACAGACTTGGTGTTGACGACATTCCCATCTCTCCCTCTCCTCTTCGTTTGATCCCCTCCTCTTCATATGTGTATGTTTGGACCTGGCGCTTCCTTCCTGTGTACAGCGTCAGGCTCCTTCACACTTTGTGATGGACACGATGTATGTTTGGTCTGCGTTCAAACATTGATTGGGATACATATTAGCATTGTAGCATTCTGCTTCGCTACCTTGTACTACGTGAATGAGGTCAGTCCCGGTCAGGTGAGGCTTTGTACCTAAGTCTTCCCTGCGCTATTCAGCATCATTTTGTATGTATCAGAATGCACATTGCTTGTTGAGATTCTACTTGCACTGCATTGTCCATTCAGTCCTTTTCATCACATTGCGGATCCTCGGTTATTATGTACATCGCCTATCAGGGCAGGTAACACCTGTCTCAAATGACCCTGGTGCTCTTGGAGGGTCTTACTGAAAACTAAAATGTCATCCAAGTAAACTACAATGAATCTATCTAACCAAGGCCTAAACAAGTCGTTCATACGACTCTGAAAAGTCGTTGGCGCGTTGGTTAGTCCAAAGGGCATGACTATAAACTCTTAGTGCCCATACCTAGTCCGGAATGCGGTCTTATACTGATCATCAGGATGGACCTCTATTTGATGATCCGGACTTCAAATCTATCTTCCAAAAATACTCGCATCCCTGCACCCGATCTAAAAGATCGTCTATACGGGAAACTGGCTCTGCATTCTTCACTGTGATAGCATTGAGACCCCTATAGTCAATACACATTCTAAGCTTTCCCTCCTTCTTGGGACAAACAAAACTGGTGCTCCAAAAGGAGATGAACTGGGCCTAATCCAACCCTTCTCTAGGAGCTCGTCTAGTTGTTTGCGCAGCTCCTCCAACTCGCGTGGGGACATCCTGTACACTGCTCCTTTGGGAGTCCTACTGCCAGGCTCTATCTCTATACGATGCTGGATTGGCCGCGGTACTACTCTTGTCGGCGGCTTTGCTACATCCTTGAACTCTTCCAACAGCTTGGCAATAGCTGGGTCAATGGGCTTCTCCTCCTTAGGCTCAGTGATAGGCCTTACGTAAACTACGAAGACCTGCTCCTCTAATTTCTCCTTTTTCACTAGTCGAGCGAACGCAGGAGCACTGAGACAGCAATGTGCCAAGGTATTGTCTACACCTGACGCATGGAACAAACGGGCAGTCTTAACCTCGCCTGTCGGACTAGGGAGCCTACACTCATGCTCTCTCAGGTGGAGTGTGGCCCCTGCTGCCTCTCCCCAATCCATACCCAGGACTATATCAAAAGGAAGGTCGTCTTGTACGAGGAGAGTCAGGGAATGGAGAACTTTCTCCACCTTCCCATCTTTCTCTAAGCGGAAATACGCCTGGACTCCCTCTACGTAGTCCTCAACACGCATAGTGCGGTTGTCTGCGAGGACACTCACTATGGGGTCTTCTAACTTCTGGACTTTCAACCCTAGCCTCAACTTCTTCAACGCTCTACGGCTAATATAATTGCGGGTAGCCCTTGAATCTATAAGGGCTCCTACTCTACTTCTAAAAGTTTCTACATCTACTAAAACTAGTTGTCCTTTACTCTTTTTCTTCATTTTGGCCCAGGCGGGCACTCTCTCCTTCAGCTCATCGGCCACGCCCGTGAGGGAAGTGCCTAGAGAGACCCTAACACGAGCAGTCTCTAGACAGCTATCTAGGCACCGGCCTGCAACCTCTGCCATAGGCTCATGTGGTGTGGGAGTTTCTTGTCGGCTCGCGCTCGTTTCCCCACATGGCCTTATGGTAGGGGCAGTTGCAACCCCTACCGGCGGCTGCCTTTTGACTGTTGGGCAGCCCATCGGGCCTCTCTATACTTTGGACAAAATTGAACTGATGTGGCCAGGGTCACCGCAAAATACGCACTGCCCTTGATCCACACGCTGCTGCCAGACGCGCTGGTCCAGGTGCAAATCCTCCCAAGGTCGGCCCTGTGGCAGACCTGGGTGCCAACCACCTCTTTTATAGGGTGACCTATTACCCCTATTAGGTGAACGGTTGCCAAAACGGTTTTGCGGGGGACCTTGGCCCCTTCCTCCCGCTTGGCGGTTTCCTCCTCTACCGCCAACCCCCTGATCGCCCTGGGAACGGCCACCTGAGGCCCGGCCCCATTGGCCCTGGCCTCCTCCTCTTTCTTGCGGCCTCGCTTCGGCTGCGACAACAGCGTAAGTCCTCCCCTGACTAGCGCTACTGTCCACCTCTTCCTCTAGTCTCCATTCTATCTGCTCGTAAGGGACCTGGTCCATACCTCCCTCGTCTAATGTAAGGATCAAATGATCCTTGGTCTTGACTTGACCCGAGACACTACGACCCTTCCACTTTTTGCCTTTGTCCAGGTCCTTGTGCCAGAAAGTGGAAACTGACGCGGACCATGCCTCGAACGGTTCCCTGCTAAGTGCATCGTAGGTCATGGTAGGTTGCTGGCTCTTTTCAAAGAAGTGCCCACGTAAGTGCTCGGGCATAGCGCGGTAAAAGAGGTTGACCAATTGGGTCTCAGTGACCCCATGGTCAGGAACGACGATCGTCCATTACACCTTTGAGTGCCCTTGCACTCCTCCACTGACGAGAATGGATGGTTTGCAGTTTATCTGACGCTTTGACACTGCGGGTCACGTCTGCAAACCGTTCTCTCAGCAACTTTAGGAAGTCGCTGAGGGGAGTGAACGCGGAATAGGCCACCAAATCATCATTGCAGTTGGTGGCACGACACAGGGAACGGGGCGAAGCTTGCCGCTTCCTCCCTAAGGGCGTGAATAGCTATCAGGACGTGTTCGTCGGGAGCGACGTTCTGCAAGTGCACATACGTTTTAATGTTGGCTTCCCAATTGTCGAAGTTCTCCTCCCTCTTTCCACTGTAGGAGTCTGGGAACTTGACCTTCACAGACTCTCTACGGGGACGCGCCGCTTCCTCCTTGGGTGTGGCCAACTTGGCACCCTCTATGGCGCCTATGCAATAACGCTCTGTGCTGTCTAGGTGGGCCTTCACCTCGGATCCCACATGTACCACTAACTCCCTTGTGAATTCCTTGAATCCCAGTCGTATCGAGTGCACAACAATGTCCTGACTTCTAATAAATTGGTATTGCTCCTCCTGAGCCGCTATCAGGCGTTCGATATTCCTCGCCATGATTTTCATCTTCCCCAACAAATATACCTGCGTCGCCATCTGGTCCCTCTACTTCTTCACTTCTTCCAACTCCTTTGCCCCCCGACTCACCCCATCCAATCTTGCTTTTCTCTCCCTTGTTAGCTGGAATTTCCACTCCATCCTCTTTTCATCCTCTGTGGCCTGACGCCTGAGTGGATCTTCTTCCGCCTTGCACTCTTTCAAGGCCGCCTCTTGTTCTTCCTTGGGCACATACATCGGTGCTTCTTCTTCTCCCAGGGATAAATTCGCTTGCACTCTTTCAAGGCCGCCTCTTGTTCTTCCTTGGGCACATACATCGGTGCTTCTTCTTCTCCCAGGGATAAATTCGCCACCCACTCTGTGATCTTTTTCTCTAACTGATCATCTTTGGTCCCATTGGATTCCCTTTTTCTCTGGTCCTTCGCCTCTCTAGTGGTACCTCTTCTACCTCTTCTTCTTCTTCCACCGCCTTGAGTTTCTCTTCTTTTTTCTTCAGCCTCTCCTTTTCTCTGGCCATCTCCTCCTCAATCTTTTTCCATTTCGCCGTCTGTTCCTCTATCAGGGCCTTCTTCTTGGACTCCTCCTTCTCTCTTCTCTCTTTGAGCATGGTGGCAATCTTCTCTTCCTGCTCACATGAGTAGGGGGAGGTGCTCGTTCCTCTACGCGTCTCAACCATGGTGAAAGGTGCACAACTAGTCAACGGTTCCACTCCTCACCACTTAGACGTCCCCCTAACTGGCTTAATTTAGATTGACCGACTCCCTATGGACTACAGGGTTCCTAGAGAGCCCTGTCAACTTCTCTAACCTAGACTCTAGTCACTACAGCCGTCACTACAGAACTTGTTGCTGACCAGGAGGCATTTAAGGAGATCCCCCGTAACTCCTCAAGAATTCTTTAACGTCGCAGACAGGACAACGCGGTCAGCAGGTTCTCTCAAGACTTGAACGGCCCGTTGTGCAGCCCACAACTCGGATTTTGGGCCTACCGTGCCACACCGAGCAGCCCGACAATCAGTACCGGTCCTTGGGAGGGTTAGGCCTCCGGGACAGTTGAGTCGTCAGACACAGTCTTTAGCCCTACTCAGCCCGTGTGGGTTTGGTCAACAAGGCCCTATCCTTCATACACGGAGTCCTATCACCTAGACAAAAGAGACACAATGCAGAAAGAAGAGACAGACAGACTCAGGCTCAGGAAGTATCATAGGGTGAGTGCACATCCATAGGGCAAGGGGATAGGCTAAGGGCTTGGCGAGATTATACCAACTCTAGCTTGGTCAAAATAGTGGTCAGCAGCTCCGGTCAACGCCTTGGTGAACACGGTCAAACCGCAGTCAACGCTCCGGTCAACCCTTCGGTTAACACCCGGTCAACCCCTGGTCAACGCCCGGTCAACCCTTCAAGTCGGCTATGGCTGCCGGCACATTCTTCCTCGCTACCCTTCACTTCTCCTTCCCCCTTCTTCACCTTTCTTCTTCCTCCTCTTTTTTTTTTTTTTTTTTGTTCACCCTCGGCTATGTCTGTCTTCCACTTCGTCTTCCCTTCCTTCCTTCTTCACCTTCGGTCTCTCCTCCCTTCTCTGCTTCACCTTCCTCCATGAACCCCGTGTCCGAGCTTTGCGGCTATCGCCGCCACTCCCTTCTTCGTTGAGCTGCACAGCCAATCTTGTATCACTCAACTCTCTCTCTCCGTGGCGATGTCTTCAGCGCAGGTGCGTATCAAACCAATCTTGTATCGCTCAGTTCTCTCTCTCTCTCTCTCTCTCTCTCTCTCTCTCTCTCTCTCTCTCTCTCTCTCTCTCTCTCTCTTCGTCGTTGTCTTCTATGCAGGTACGCGTCACTTCCTTCCGCAGCGGAGCTATGGCGGACTGCTTCTTCTCGGTGGCGCACTTCAACTGTGGCGCCCTATGGCGCGCGTCTCCCTCCCGCTACAACGGTGATGGCGCATGGAGTAGCGGGTACCAGCCCCGATACCAGTGCAATCAGACTCGCAATCATGCACACTTCACATGTATGCAAACAGGTTGCGCAGCAAACAGGCGTCAAGCGCCCACTCAGAACTCAGAGATATAGCACCAAGAACTCAGTTCAGATACAAGTTCACTTCCTCTGACTATGGTGGCACATCGCCTGTACAACACTTTGTCGTCACTCAGTCCACACTGTTGTTCACACACAAGATCACCCTGGATACCCCAGACGCGTCACACTATATACACACACACACCTACAGCTATGGCGGCTATGGCCGTTTCTACCCTATCGCTATGGCTAACTTCTTCTCGCCCACTTCATCCTCGGGCGCACTGCAGACCACCTTGCACAAGTCGCTATGACAGCGCTTCCGCATGGCTTACGCAGGAATGAATGAATGGCTGTGCACTGCCTCTTGATTTATGCTTTTGTAACTCGTTGGTCTGCCCCTTTCCACCGGGCCCATGGTGCACACAGTCCCCCTTGGTACTTGCTGACTGTGCAAAGTGAGACTGGGACTGGGTACCACTGACTAAGCGAAGTTGGACACACCACTTGCCCACTTGCCTCTGGCCTTCTGTGTAAAATGTGAGAGGAAACTCGAAAGGCCACTTCCGGACCTTCCGGGAGACCGTGGACTTGGCCTTTCAGTACTGTAGCAGCTACGACCTTGACCCTTCAGGGCTGTAGCAGCTACGACCTTGACCCTTCGGAGGAGCTACAGCTACGACTTCTAGAACTCACTAAGACTCCTATCCGACAGGTCTACAGATCGAATCCCCTACAAACTACGGACCTAAAACAGCCTACCAACTGTTTGCGAATACACAGGTCATGGGTTCAAACACTCAGGGGTCAACTTGATACTGTACATGGGTAAGGTAAGGTCTGGGGATCGAACCCTGGGATCTGCATTTGCCTTTGCAAAGGTGAAAACCGTTTCACCAGCAGCAACCCTTGGCCGTCCCTTGGGATGCCCAGCCCAAAGCATCCCCAAATCTCTCTACCGGGCCTCACGCTTCTGCATCAGCAGCTTACAGGGCAACACCCCAGCACTGGCCAGCGTCGTTCTGGCATCGAACGGCCACAGATCATTGAGTATAACAGCATCAAAACTGCCTAAGATGGATTGCTAAGAAACCCTAAAGTCCTAAGACATTCATAAGAACAACTGACTTTTTTCCATTCAGACTCTACCAAGTCAAAAGAATATGTGTGTCAATAAGCCTCCCCATCACGAATCAGATAGGTGAAACCTATTCAATCCCTCTACGACCACCACCAGCATGGTTAATTTTAGCACGAACCGAAGCTCTTCCAGGCCTCATGCTCCCATCAGGTTAGGTTACAGAGTTGCACCACCTTGCTCCAGCAGCGGCCAGCGTTGCTCCAGTTACGACCCCCGATGACCATTGGGACTGCCCCCGCAAATACCAGAGCTCTTTACCAGGCCTCATGCCCCCACTAAGCTAGGTCACAGAGTTGCGCCACCTGGCTCCGGCTCCAGCTCCGGCTCCGGCCAGCGTTGCTCCAGCATCGGTCTTCGAGGGCCACCGACTTTTTAACCACCCCTCGCAGGATCACAGATGGCTTGCCAGATAACACCTATTCCTACAACCTCCTCGAGAGGCAACCAAAGGGAAAGCTATAGTAAACTGGATGATAGATTTCTTCGAGAGAGATCGCCCCTCCATCCCCCTACCCCTTCCCCCTCAGCCCTGCCTCAGCCGAGGAGAGTCACTCAATCGCCCTCGGCCCCAATATAGGACCAGTCCTCTCCCACCCTTTCCCCAGGAGCACGCAGTTCCCACCTAAAGCATGCCCCCCCGCCCCGTGCCCATTTCCGCCTCCGCAGGGACTGATGGACCCACCCACAGTCCCTGCCCCAGAATAAGGCAACCCCCTACTCCACCCCTACCCTCTTTGAGACATTCACCCACCACCTTGCGATGCCCCTGCAGGATAGAGTTCCCCTCACCCCCTTCCCACCGTTCAGCCCTCCGCGAACAATCCGATCCAGCCGACTACAGTTATTGATGACACACTTACCAAAATATCATTTGCTTGGATTCTGTTGGATTTTGTTGGTGACGATGGACAGCACCCTGAAGACAATAATAATGAGAATGATGGTGACAACCAACTCACCTACTGATGCAGAGCAACATCTAATTGAAAGCAAGCTGATGATGATGATGATGAGGATGAGGATGAAAATGGAAAGATGATGCTGATCTTACCAAAGAGCAGCACCAACGACCCCTATGATTACAAACTGATGATGATGATGATGATGACGATAGTAATGATGATAGAGATAATGATGATGATAGTAATGATGATAGCGATGATGATGGTGATGTTGATAATGATGATGGTGATGTTGATAATGATGATGGTGATGATGAAGATGATGATGGTGATGTTAGTAATGATGATGATGATGATGATGATGATGATGATGATGATGATGGTAAGGATGATGACACATAGCACCCTATGATGACTACAAGATGATGATGGTGTGATGACGAGCTCCTTGGATAATGACCTATAAAGATGATGATGATGATGATGATGATGCGCAAAGGCCTATGATGACATCAAGTTTTGCCACCTGTGCCGTATGATGGAGAGAAATTTGACGATGGTGATACAACAATTAGTGACGAGCAGTTGTTCTGCTGTGAGCACTAGGGAATATCGTTTTTGGTTTCTTTTTTTGAATTTTCAACTGATGTCTAGCCCACACGGGCTCGCGGAATTGTTTTTGGGCTCCTCGGAATTCCCTTTTACAATTAGGACTTAGGCCAGGAATTTAGGTACTCTGAATTTTGTTGCGCCACACTTGTGCATATCTTGCTGCGCTAGGAACAGGGCTCTTACTGGATCGCGCCCTTAATCTTGCACAATTGTCGCTTTTGGCGGGCGCGATTGTAACTGTATCTTTCTTCTTTCTTGATTTCCTCGTGTTTGCCCGCCTTCTTCTTCTATGTCTTGCATGCTTAATGCTCCATTCTAATTGGCCTGAGTGCCTGCATAACCGGATCGATGCGCGGAGTGCGGCTACGACCCCCATGTCGCGACCTGGCCATCCAGACGTAGTCACGTAGGCACTTCCTCTCTTCTCCTTCTGCCCACTTGGGCTTAATCCCTTATCTTACGCGCAAGCATGCATGCTATAAATTTCGCAAGCACGATTAGTTTGCTCTCTGTGAACCTTGGAGTTAGCGTGATTAGTGAGGGTCGGCTAACGAGTCAGCTGGAAGCGGTGAGTCGACGAGAGAGTTGGAAGATTCGACGAGCTGGTGTCGGGTATGTGGGGTTGACGTACGGGCCACGACGGACTGTGGCGCGCGGGCAAACCTGGCTTGCATGCTCGAACCAAGCGGGGTGACAACGCTTTGTTGATGCGCGGCGACAAACTGCCCGCATCGGGGAGTGTAGAGAGAGAAAGAGAGAGAGTTGTTGTGTGTGGGACGAGGTCCCTTCTTCCATTCATCTGTATAATTTTGGTTTCTATTTTGGCCGATCTCTTTAAGGCCCTCTCGGACTTTCTTTGTAAATCGTGTCTGATTTTCGTTGTCGTTTGCTTCGTGTGTATGTATGGAATTGATGTGAACTCTTTCCCGTTAGCGATCTTTTCGGATTTCCAATCTTGTTTTGCGATGACTATTTACTTCACATTTCGTTTGCATGAGCAATACTCTCAGATCTTGATTGGAAGCACTTGCTAGGGATGTTTGGGTTTAATCGCTAGTCTTCGATCGTCATCAGATCACCAAGAGTGTTGTGAGGAGTTGATTGTCCTTTCCCCCTGTTTCTCTCCTTTTTTTTGTCACATGAATGGCATGGGTATGAATGTAATGTTTTGATCTCCCCCAATATAGCATGAGTAGGATAGTTGCATGCAGGACGGATGCAACCGGTACACCGAATCGAGGAGCGATCTGCTTTCGCTCATGTGCACGCTCACGTACAACCGCGATCTCAAGAAAATCGAGTCGCAGCGTACGTGCGCGTCTGCATGAGTCCACCTCGAACTCATCATAAGGATGCGGGAAACCGAATTCCCTAGCCGGATATGGTTGTGGACATTCCCTTTGGGATTACCGATCGTGAGAACTTGAGGGATCCAGAGTATCGCGAGTACTGGGAGGGTGAACAGCTCAGACGGCGGGGAAACTTGAGAAACCCAGAATTCCCCTGTCTGATGGAGAACGACCGATTGTGCGCGGGGGATTTCCACTGGGCCATAACCAGTGATCCTAGAGGCCTAGACTACCCAGACAATGACAACACTCAATATTATATATCTCCAGGCTTCGTCGTTATTAATACCAACTTCCCTCCCTTCCATCTCCTCCTCCCCTATCACCAGCTCACAGTGGTACCGTGGAATTCCATAGCTCGCTATTGGCCCCACCCATCGTGCGAAGAGTGCCAGAGATACCAGGCGTACCGGGCTTCAAGATTTATCCGACGAACGCGAACCGAAGTCGAGCAGCGATTACACAGCCTCCGCTTGCAGCCAGCCTCGTCGGATTCCGAAGCTTGTTATGAGCGGCGCCGACAACTTTTCGCCCCGCGGGACAGCCATGGTGTCCCACCGGTCCACCAGATAAGGAACCGGCCGCGTCGACGCAACTGGCAGAGACCATAGCCCCATCCCCGAAGGCTGAAACGCCAGATACGATCTTTGCGTACCATCTTGCACCGTTGTCCCTAAACTTGCCACCGGAGATCTCAGTTCAGACCTGGGACTTCCACCCCCCCCCCACTTTCCTAAAATCCTTGGCACCACCCGTTTTTCGCACTTTCGGGCCCCCATCCCACTCTGATCAGGAAGTCACGTTGGGCGTGAGGTTGGTATCGGAGCGATACGTGGCAAGCCACAGTCCTAACAAGAAGGTGGTTAGCGTAGAACGATCTGGCGAACAAAGGACGACCCAGGCCGTGGAACACGCCACGAGGCGATCCTATAGCAACAAGAAGTAGGTCGGTTGCTCGACAGACGATCAATATGAACGCCAGTCAGCAAAAACCCAACCAGCCCCAACAGGCCCCCGCTCCACGAGCACGGGCACCTGCGGCCCCGCCCGATCTCTACCTTTTTTATCCTGCGCATCATCTCGCGGGAGCGTGGCTGGCCACGCTTTGCGTGCAGAAGTACGACAATGACGAAGCGTGAATCCGACAGATTGGGAGGGGATGCACATCATTGGTTCAACACCTACGCTTGGATTGACCTTCCGACGTTCAAACAAGATTTCCTGAATCGTTTCAATTATATTCATCCAGAGCAAGCTTTTTTTATGATCAAGGATCGAGTTCAAAAGCCACTCGAATCTGTCACTGAGTATCGCAATTGGTTTTACCGAATGTTTGTCAAAACTGAGCGGGGAGAACAGGTAGGAAGTGACTTGTTTATCGACGGGCTCCGCATTAGGACAATGAGGACGAAACTGCGAAAGCAGTTCTCTCCCGTTAACCACACACTACAACAGATCATGGCCGCCGCAGAAGAGATGGAACGGAAATTCGCTGCGAGCTTCCTAGAAGGAGAAGATTATCCTAGGGAGGGAGATTCATCCGAGTTAGCCAGAGCAAAGGTAGAGCTCGCCACGCTACAAAACAAATTCGAGAACATGGGATTTGTGTCGGGTCCCATTACTTATCTAGAGCAAATCGTCCCTAAACGATCGACTCCCAGTACAATCACAGGGGTATCTGTTCCTGTGATGACTGCTCCCCCGTCTCCGCCCGAAAGTCCTACACAACCGAGCGAATCGACGGCGTTACTAGAACTGACCAAAACGTTAGTTACTTTGATACAGGAAAGCAACGCCACCGCTCGTTGTTCATTTGCGGGTCTGATAGTCCCGATCATTCCTAACCCTGGATATCCTAATGCCACTTACTGGTCCAGAGGAATAAGTTCTACCACTTCTTCAGTAGTAGCTGGCGCACTCCCACCCCCTTCCATTTCTTCCAACATCGTTCCTACTCTACCTGACCCATTAGCGATTGGTGTCGCGGCCACCGGTGCTCCCCCGATTTGGGCTTGCGCGGGCCGGTGGGGGCAATCCCGGGCTATGTGTCCTGGGTGGTGACACGTGTAGCAGACATTTGGGTTGCCTGCTGCCCCGCTTGTCGTCGGGATCGGGGCCAGTCCAGGTTGTATCGGCGCGGCTCTTACGGCAATGGGACGCATCGATCTCCTTAACGACTCTATCCTAGTGTTATGCTCGTGTTGCTCCTTTAATGGAGACCCTCTCCAGGGGAGATGAAGTCTGGAGGGCCCACCTTTGTCACTTTGGAAATAGACGTCCTAAATATCGTCCGTGCCCTGGACCATCGCATTCCCCTCTCAATCGGACATCTGTTATCCATCTCGGAACAAGCTAACGAGCGCATGTTGTAACACTGCAAGGCAAACAGAAAACGATTCGCCCTTGCGAGAACAACGAACACGAAAGGAAAAACCCTTATCCATGAGGACAACCCGAGCCTCGCCAGTATGTCGGATCCCATATGCTGGGATTAATAAAAAAAGACGATCACTTTCAACGGATCAAAGCGATCCCGTGGAAATCCGCCGAGTGCGATATCAAGGTCTGGGGAGTCCCGTATAACACCATTATCGACTCAGGAGCCGCTGTCTTGGGGAGTCCCGTATAACGCCATTATCGACTCAGGAGCCGCTGTCCTGGCTATTTCACTAAGAGTAGTAGAAAAAGCGGGAAGAGGAAAAGATCTCATCATGCTAACAGAAAAGGATCATCTCGTCTCCGCAGATGAAGAGAAAATCAAGACAGTAGGACGAATGACTAATGTTGCTTTTCGACTAGGAAGGGTACATGCTCTGGGGGATGTCGTGGTGTTGGATGTAACCACGTACGACGTTCTTTTGGGACTGCCCGCTCTCACGGCTCTGCGGGCCAACCTAGATTTCGAAAGACGATCGATTGTCCTTTGGAATACGGGAGGAAAACCATACACCATCCCTATGAGATTGACTCTCAGAACTATGGCAGAAGTCACCCAGAAAACTTCACTGACGCCCAGAGGAACTCTCCTGATGATCACCTGGAAAGAACTTGCGGAACGCAGCGGTCACCGGACAGAGGAGTCGGAACTCTCGAGCGACACTGATGGTAGCGATGAAGATGACTAAGTGATTCGGGATTTAGTGCAGCAACGCATCCGCTACCCGATCCAACAAGCAACCACGAAAACGTTCAATCTCACGGAAGGGAACATCCAGAAAACACGCGCATTAATTTTAGGCGAACCACTTGTGCAGATTTCCAGGATGACCGACTCTTTGGAACCCCCTCAGACCTTATACGAGGGCACCGCTCCCCTTCTTGCGAGATACAGGGATAAGGAAGCTTTCTGCGATATTATGGAGCTACCCCGTTCCTTGTTATCTTCAGGAAAAGAGATAAGGCTGTTGAGATTAGGGGTCGAGGTTGAGGCTTTGGGACCCCTTGCGCGTTGCGACACATGACCCCACAATCTTGGGATCAGGGTCGCGGAAAAACCCGTACGATGGCCGGATGTCCGCGACAGTGTAACCCCGGAGGAACACGTGGCGATTCGAGAGGAAGATGCCCAAATGATGGCCACGGTGTTTTCCTGGCGATCGGACAATTCATTCATCTTTGCGCCACCACTCAAAAACACTGACGGAATCAACACGAAACAGATTACCATTCAAATACTAGGCCAATGCCACGAATTGCATGTGACACGTTACGTACCCGACGAGATTCACCATCTAATCGCATGAATTTTAAAGGAATATCAGGGAGTGATCAGTGTGACAGACACGGTCGTCGGACTATCGCTAGTCATCCAACATGAGATCCAGACCGGAAATCATCCTCCGATCCACTGCAGACCGTACAGGTATTCCCTCGTGGAACGAAAAACAGCCTTACAAAGGATTAGGGATTCCTCGTAGTCCTAGTATCGAAGAAAAATGGGTCGGTTCGCATTTGCATCGATTATCGCAAGTTGAATGACATCACGATTAAGGATGTGTATCCCCTCCCCCGGATTGGGTGTGCTAATTATTTGTTGGATGCGATTGGGTGTGCTAATTATTTTAGTAAGTTTGATATTCGTCACGGATTCCATCACATCCTGGTTAAGGAGGAGGACCGGCCCAAGACGGCCTTCGTCCTGTTCGAAGGCACCTGGCAGTGGGTTCGATGCCCAATGGGAATCTGCAACGCACCGGCTACATTTCAAAGAGTGATGAACAGAAAATTTTGTCAACAAGACCCGACTGACTCAAGGAATGATCAATTTCTGCGTCATTGTGTATATGGACGATATCTTGGTCTACTCAGAGTCATTCCACGGGCACGCACAACATATCGAGTGGACACTGGGAGCCTTACGAGACGCCGGATTCAAGATTGCGCTGGAAAAGAGAGTTCTTTCTTTATGAGATCTCATTTTTGGGCTACGTGGTAACTCGGGAAAGCTTAAGGCCCGATTCAAGAAAATTTGCGGCCGTTCGAGACGCCCCGACTCCCACGTCGCTGACGCAAGTTCGAGCTTTCCTAGGGCTGGCCTCATACTATCGTCGATTTATCAAGGGTTTCGCTGCTATCACACGATCCCTAACGAACTTGGTGCGAAAGGACCAACCCCTCAGCTGGAACGCGGAGTGCGAACGGGCCTTCGGCGCTCTAAAGGAAGCCCTAGCTACGACGCCTACTTTGATTCGACCGGACCCAGCAAAGCAATTCATACTCATTACGGATTGGCAGCCTGAGGCGATCTCCGCTATCCTAGCGCAGAAGGGGAACGACGACCGCGAACACGTCATCGAGTACGCGTTTCGTACCGTACCGGACGAATGGAAGAACGATTTGGCTCTGCAAGGAGAATGTTATGCAGTAGTTTGGGGAATTCAACACTTCCATCTGTATCTGTATGGGCAAAAGTTTCTCCTCGTCACGGACCACGAACCCCTGTTGGCTTTCAAGAGGCTCACTAATTACACTGGCATGATTGGGCGCTGGGCAATACGGCTGCAAGAGTACGATTTCAACATCGTCCATCGGAAGACGGAGAGGCACAAGAACGCGGACAGATTGACGTGATTGCACCACCCAACAGAAGTGGCTAAAGGCGAGTAGATTACTCCATGGAGATAACCGGAGCCAGTCAGTGGGCCATGATACGGACAGGTGGCAGTCCTTCCTCGCAACAAGAAATAGCACGTGGCGATGGGCGATGGAGGTAACTTTGGGGCTCCCCTTTCTCCTCTCTCATCTTCGTCTTTTTCCTCCCTTCCTGACAAATTTTGCTATTTTTGTGAGGCAATTTTGAGAGTCTACTCGGTCCCTATGCGACTGAGCGGGGAAGGCTATGTCGAGTGGGTAGATTGTCAGCGATGTGTTTCCCGAGCCCATGGTTCTTGTATCCAGTACCGGAATACGGACAAACCTTGGTTATGTGTCGCACTGATAGAATCCCGACAGAGGCTCGATTTCGCAAAGCCACGTCTGAAGGGCTAGAAAAGACACGACAGTTTAGAAGGGCTGTAGTATGGACAGATGTCGTCTTGATAGCTAAAGTGGTCGGAAACACTCTCCGAGATTTCACAAAAGAGGACCGGAGACGGGCCAATGAGAGGGTTCGGGATTATCGATGGAATGAAGGACGGTTAGAAAAACGAAAAACGGACGGATGTCTGTCCCGCATACGTTCGTAAGGTATGACTGGGTTAAGTCAGCTCACGAGGAAATTGCGGCCCATTTCGCCGTCCGAATCACAAAGGCGGCGATTGATAAAAATGAGTGGTATTGGTCTAATATTCGCGACAATGTTAAATTCATCGTCCGTAATTGCCAAGTATGCGTTGCTGACAAGGCGCCGATCCAGCCGCCTAGGTCGATAATGCCTACCGTAGTCGAGCGGCCATTCCAGAGGGTTAGTATGGATACCACCGATATTGTCGTGCCCGCTGGACCGAATAGCTGTATTCCATTCTGTTGGTATTTGTAGACCACTTTTCGAAGTGGATCGAGGCGTATCCATATAAGACGCGACAGGCGGCCAAAATCGCGCGATACGTCAACCGTTTTCTCGGGATGCGGCAGGACACCGAGGAGATCCTGATGGACAATGGTGTCTTTATCCACAATACTGCCCTTCACATGTCGCAGTCGAACGAACTGGTGGAAAACGCCAATCGAGTGATTAAGACCGCTTTGCGACGCAATATCGCAGCAAATGGCACAAGGCCTTGGCCCGATATCGTGGACCATATCCTAGCTATCCACCGGGGGACACCCCACGAATCCACGGGTCTGACCCCCCTCTAGCTGCAGACCAATAGCCTACCCTGTGTAGCCCTACCGAGCATAAATGATGAGACGGCCCTTCCGCGACGGACCACTAGGGCGATGGTAAAGGATAAGGCCCAACGCCACCAAAAACTGATGGAAAAGGTCCTTCCCCAATTGGCCCGAAAAAGACAGCGAATGATAGAAATGGCCCATGGGAGACAGGTCAGGAGTTATGAGGTCGGGAATGGGAACGCTGGGCCTCGACCCCAGTATAAATTAGGGGACATCGTGCAGGTGAGGAAATGTGCTCGCCACGGCAAGCTAGCGCCATGATTCTTCGGGCGATTCCACGTGGTTGAGCTCGGTCCCAGTGGGATGAACACGGTACGGCTTGCGCCGAAGGTGTCGGGAAGTTGATTGGCTCGCCCAATCATTCGACACGTGTCCTACCTTCGTCTTCTCCCCTCTTCCCCTTCTCTTCCATCATTTGCATCATCCCTCGGCCAAGACGAGGACGACGACTCTCTAGAATCCTCCTTTCTCTCTCAACCATCGTCTTCGACTCCACCTCCATCGCCATGAGTTTTCGACGGAGCAGGTGATCAGCGAGCGTCTAATGGTACCCGGGGGAGCCTTCTCAGCGATCCGACAAGTATGGCATCCTCGGTTGAGTCTAGATCTTCTCCGATTCGCGGCCTTCTTCAATACAACGACCATCCACGCGGCGGCGGAGTTCCAGTTCGGGCAGTCCGGGGTGGCACGAGTGTTGGCCGAGGTGTCAACTTTTTTGCGCCTGACCCCACCTGGGGAGAGCCACGTGTCGGTCATTGTTGCCTTTACAGGCGACATCACGACACTGCATCCAGCACGACACACCGCCATCCTTCGACAACTGCGAGATTGGGCAGCATGCATCACGACTGAGTGGGTGCGACTATTGGCTCGACCACGCGATCGTGTTGTAACGATGAACGACATCGATCTTCAGCTTTGGGTCTCCTCCACCGCCCCGAAGTCACCCTTCTTGTGCTTCGTCCCTTCGCTCGGCCTCAATGAACCGCCACCGTCTCTCTACCTTCAGCCTCCCTTCTGATGTTCCCACATTTTGGCAATTTGTCGAGGAAGCGTCTCTGTCCTTCACGATCAAGCAATTGGATGTGCCGATTCTAGACGCGGTTAAGTGGACGCAATGGTGGCAAGCCTACGTGGCACTCAATTTTTGCCTCCTTGAGGTCGTCTTCCATTGGGCGGAACTGATAGACATGAGTGCGGAGGACGAGATCCCGGACGACGAGGTGGAGTTGCTGCTCATCCAGGGGTGGAGAACGGACACGGAGGGAGATTTTTTGGGGATCTTATTCGGAGAAGTGCACGACGGCCATCTGAGCTCCATTACGGATGAACTGCTGGTGCTTCTAACCCGAGTGCTGGACGATTTGCCATTGGAGATCCTCTCACATTGTGACGAGAGGGCGAGGACAGCCACGATCGCTCGTACCCTGAAGCCACATCTTCTTCGGTCCACTTGTACGGAATTGGAAAAGGGCAACTACTACTTACCCTCGAGAGGTGCATACCTGAGCGTCGACATCACTGATCTCTCCACGTGGGACCCACTCATCCGGCGCGTTCCTCTAGGAGAGACCAGCAAGGAAGCCGAAGAGGAGGAGGAAGAGGAAAGCCACGAGGGCGGCCACCGTCAATATACGGAAGGAGAGACAACGCCAGAAAAGGAGGAATCGGGGGCTGAATCAGACAATCTCGATTATCAAGAATCGGAGGACGGCGAGTCGGAAGAGGCCAGTTCGGGGCAGGTGGAGTCGGAGGAAGAAGAAGGTGGATCGGGTGAGTCGCGTAGTCTCGACGAATTGAGCAGAGAAGAACGAGAGGCTGTGGCACAGAGGAAACGGGCAGCATCAGAAGGAAAACGACAGATCCAAGAATTAGGAGGGCCACCACCGCAACTGCTGCAAGGCGATCCGGCGCGCAATCCAGAACCACCGCGGGAAGAAGATGAAAGAGATGGAAACGCCACCGCAGAGGGATCAAGAAGCCGGCGCCGCCGAAGAAGTGAATCGCCCTCCCAATCCTCCTCAGTTCGACCCGCAGCCCTTCGTTTACGTCGAGATGCGGGCACTCGGGCTTCGTCCCCGGTCGTTATCACGTCATCCTCGTGACTTCCTCACCCTCCGACAGTTCCCAGGACGACCCCCTTTCCCCGATGGGTGACAACCGTTCCCACTCTTACTCTTCTACCACCAATACGCCACCCTCCTTCTGGTCACCATCTTCCCGCACACTACTACTCGCTCGCTCGTCACTTCCTTCCCCCTCCACGTCCTTCTCTTTAGCGTGGATTGGCAGGAATATAATAATATAGAGGTTTATTATGTCATCGCGGGCACGATTCCTGCGTCCGAGGAATATGACGATTTTCGCGCTGCCATCCGCCGCACCCTCTGCACCCTCTACCCTGACTACCTCGCCTCTCTCCCCATCAACGTCGGCACCCTCGCTTTCCCTACATCCACCGCTCTATTCATTTGGTCCCACTCCCCTCCAGCGACAAGGAAGCCTATCCACCACCTCCCCCATTCGTAATTATACTACCTTTCCCGGGCAACGTTTTCGATTGAACGCATGCATGCCACATTGGATGACTTCCACACTCAGATCCTACGGTAAGTGGCACGTGTCGGCTCCGCGTCGATCATTGAACGATGGATCGGCGCCTGATGAGAGAGCAAGCAGGAGCTTGCTCAAGATTGGAACCCCTTGAGCGTCACATATGTGACGAACCATTTCTTGTAATCGCGCGACTTTCTACGCGAAGCTGCCTTGGGGAAATGGATGGGTCGGATGGGTGAACCATGGACAGAGGTTGCGCCACACTTGTGCGCATTTTGCTGCGTCGAGAATTGGGCTATGACTGGATCGCGCCCTTAATCTTGCGCAACTGTCGCTTTTGGTGGGTGCGATTGTAACTGTATCTTTCTTCTTTCTTGACTTCCTCGTGTTTGCCCGCCTTCTTCTTCTTTGTCTTGCATCCTTAATGCTCCATTCTAATTGGCCTGAGTGCCTGCATGACCGGATCGATGCGTGGAGTGCGGCTACGACCCCCACGCCGCGGCCTGGCCATGCAGACATAGGCACTTCCTCTCTTCTCCTTCTGACCACTTGGGCTTAATCCCGTATCTTTTGCGCAAGCATGCATGCTATAAATTTCACAAGCACGATTAGTTTGCTCTCTATGAACTTTGGAGTTAGCGCGATTAGTGAGGGTCGGCTAACGAGTCAGCTGGAAGTGGTGAGTTGACGAGAGAGTTGGGCGATTCGACAAGCTGGTGTCGGGTATGTGGGGTTGACGTGCGGGCCGCGACGGACTGTGGCGCATGGGCAAACCTGGCTTGCATGCTCGAACCAACCGGGGTGACAACTCTGTGTTGATGCGCGACGATGGACTGTCCGCATCGGGGAGTGTAGAGAGAGAAAGAGAGAGAGTAGCTGTGTGTGGGACGAGGTCCCTTCTTCCATTCATCTGTATAATTTTGGTTTCTATTTTGGTCGATCTCTTTGCGGCCCTCTCGGACTTTCTTTGTAAATCGTGTCGGATTTTCGTTGTCGTTTGCTTTGTGTGTATGTATGGAATGGATGTGAACTCTTTCCTGTTAGCGATCTTTTCGGATTTCCAATCTTGTTTTGCGATGACTATTTACTTCACATTTCGTCTGCATGAGCGATACTCTCAGATCTGATTGGAAGCACTTGCTATGGATGTTTGGGTTTAATCGCTAGTCTTCGATCGTCATCAGATCACCAAGAGTGTTGTGAGGAGTTGATTGTCCTCTCCTCCTGTTTCTCTCCTTTTTTTTGGTCACATGAATGGCATGGGTATGAATGTAATGTTTTGATCTCCCCCAATATAGCATGAGTAGGAAAGTTGCATGCAGGACGAACGCAACCAGTACACCGAATCGAGGAGCGATCTGCTTTCGCTCATGTGCATGCTCACGTACGACCGCAATCTCGAGAAAACCGAGTCGCAGCGTACGAGCGTGTCTGCATGAGTCAACCTCGAACTCATCATAAGGATGCGGGAAACTGAATTCCCTAGCTGGATATGGCTGTAGACATTCGCTTTGGGATTACCGATCGTGAGAACCTGAGGGATCCAGAGTATCGCGAGTACTGGGAGGGTGAACAGTTCAGACGGCGGGGAAACTTGAGAAACCCGAAATTCCCCTGTCTGACGGAGAACGACCGACTGTGCGTGGGGGATTTCCACTGGGCCATAACCAGCGATCCTAAAGGCCCAGACTACCCAGACACTGACAACACTCTTCGTCGTTATTAATACCAGCTTCCTTGCCTTCCATCTCCTCCTCCCCTATCACCAGCTCACAGTGGTACCGTGGAATTCCATAGCTCGCTATTGGCCCCGCCCAGCGTGTGAAGAGTGCCAGCGGTACGAGGCGTACCGGGCTTCGAGATTTATCCGACGAACCGGAACCGAAGCCGAGCAGCGATTACACAGCCTCTGCTTGCGGCCAGCCTCGTCGGATTCCGAAGCTTGTTATGAGCGGCTCCGACAACTGTTCGCCCCGCGCGACAGCCATGGTGTCCCACCGGTCCACCAGATAAGGAACCGGCCGTGGCGACGCAACTGGTAGAGACCATAGCCCCATCCCCGAAGGCTGAAACGCCAGATACGATCTTTGCGTACTGTCTTGCACCGTTGTCCCTAAACTTGCCACTGGAGATCTCAGTTCCGACCTGGGACTTCCCCCCCCCCCCCCCCCCCCCCCACTTTCCTAAAATCCTTGGCACACTCCCTTTTTTGCACTTCCGGGGCCCCGTCCCACTCCGATCAGGAAGTCGCGTTGGGCGTGAGGTTTGGGCGTCACATCGCTGTTCTCTATACCTCTTACTCGACTTCCACCTTCTAGGGATTAACGGGACCGATAAGTCCAATAAGATCGTGCTTGAAATGATTGCGAGACCTCCAAGCTCAGACCGCGATCTTTCTTGGGATCTATTAGTAAATTTGGAAAAGACTCTACGCTTGCAACTCCTTTGTCACTACCTGAGTTGTAGCGAAGCCGATCCTTGTGCAGCTGTGAATGTGTTGTTGTAACCCCGTTTGTCTCTATAGCTACGCCAGACAAATGTCTTCTGGACCTTCCTCCTTGCGCGTTGTGGGGTAAGAATAGGAAAGATCTTAACTCGTTTCTCTCTCTTCTTGTCGCTTCTCTCTCATCGCAGGTGAGTTTTTGAAGTGGACTTCTTCACACCAATCCTTTCCGTCTTTTCCTCTTCTTAGCCTTTCCACCGTCACTGCTTCTCTTCCTTCCTCAGTTCTTTCCAAAACCAACTCATTCCTTGCTAATTGTCTTTTCCTCGTCGATTACAAGTATTCATTTCTGCGTCGGGATAATCATTGGCACGTACTCTCTCCTTCTCTTCTCTCTCTCCCCTTCTTTCTTGTCTCCTTCCCTCTCCCTGTAGCCACGCCCTAGGGCATGGCTTGGCTTAGCTTAGCTCGCATTCATTTCCCTCACCCAATCGAAAATTGAGTTCCCACTTGGGGCGCCACCTGGGGTCAAGTCGGAGTGAGAGTGTTCATGCTTGCGCTCCCGTCAACAGCCACCCCTAGCTGAATTCCCTTTCCTACCTCGTTGCTTTCCTCCTTTCCTTCTTTGGGGCAATTTGCGTCCTTTCCTTCTGCTTTTCCTCGAGGCGGTTGTCTTTTCCTTTACTTAAATACACCACACTTCTTCCCTTTTGCTCGTTGCTCCCCACCTCTTCTCTCTTCCTCTCCCCGTTTTCACCCGTCTTTCCTGTCTCTTCCCATGAATAGCCATGCCTGAAGTCGTGGCAAGGAGCAGCGTGATCCCGCCTTCTGTTTCCCACCTTTCGTCGTCTTTTTCGAAAAAGAGATGGCGCGCGAGTGGAGCAAAATTTTACGCCGGTTGAAAAAGTTCACGGACGTGCGGACACGGTAGTCAGCGCAGTGAATTAGCGCTTACAGGTCGACGCTAACGCTCGATGTAAACGGTCTTGCTTCAAATTGTTTCTGATACCTATATCTGCTAGTCATCCTAATTAGCCTAATTATCGTCAAATCATCATCAAATCATCATCAATTTTCAGAATTGAATTTCATTATAAGGGATGCTGGGCGTGTTTCCCTGCACGTGCTGCTCCCCACGAATAGACCGGAGCGTTGAAAAAAAAAGCAAAAAGAAAAAAGGCCGAGGTCCCTGTCACATGCCTATGAACAACAAACAGGCATGGCACAGAACCCAAGATGACCAAAGGAGAAAGAGCGATGACAATGCAGTGGAAGACTGAAATACACAGATCTGACTCGTCATCACCCAGTACCGACTCTGCATACATCCACCATCACACACATGCAATGGACACGGTGGCTCACACATGGAAGACAGCCGCCATGTCTGGAAGACATCCACAGGAGGAGGAGGGGGGGGAAGAGACAAGGTGGGGAGAAGAAGGGGAGATGTCAACTCAATAGCCCCTGCGAATGAATAGCCTCCAAAAATGATCCCCAAAGTCTCTGTCCGAATACAATGTCCGAGTCTGGGCAATCGCCCGAATGTCACCAAGTCTCAACTCTCACATCTCTCTCTCTCTCTCTCTCTCTCTCTCTCTCTCTCTCTCTCTCTCTCTCTCTCTCTCTCTCTCTCTCTCTCTCTCTCTC